CAATGCACCATTTTTACGATTCTTGCCTTTATAAGCTCACAAAGAAAATGAAAACAAACGCTTGTATGCTTTTTGCATCCATACATTATTGGATTCTTCTCAAGTTTAATGGCTTCATAGTGAGAAATTGTAGGTATATTTTGCTTTTTACCAAGCATCATCAGAATCTTTTTCAACCATACTACCTGACATGCATAAAAGGCTATAACAATAAAGCCTGCCTCTATGGTAGATATAGTTACAATCAGCTACTTCTTTAATGACAATGATATTACCTCTAAACTTAATAAGAAAACATAACATGAACTATTTTTTTGTCATCTGTCTCCTGTATAATTATTGTTCATGTAAACTAATAGGTCTTCATTTCCTTTCTTTTTGTAGAACACTCCAAAATTGATTATTTCTCTTAGATACCTTCGAACTCTCTTTACTGTCCATATATGAAGTTCAATAAGACTACTCATATACCTGCTAAAAAGACTTACCATAAACAACAAGTATGGTCATGTAATAGTCAAATATATGAAACTTCCTACAACCTTTTGTACAAAGTGTTGTCCACTTTAACTTCATCTTCATCTCTTAACTTTGCAACCCAAGACAATAGGATTAAGAACCGAATTACTTTTACTCATTCCAAATCTCTCCAGGACCTCCAAAGCATATTTTCTTTGGTTAATGAATATCTCATAAGATATTTGCGTAATTTTATACCAAGAAAATATCTCATTTTTTCAACATCAATTATGTCAAACTCAAACATCATTTAAGTCTTAAATTTAGCAAACATAGATTTATTATTTTCTAGTAAAAATAAGATCATCATCATACAGGTTCACAATTAGAATTTTACCTTTCTTTACTGTCTTTATGAACAAGGCATGTTAATAAAGATATTTTTCAAAGCCTTCCTTCATGAAATAAGCATATATACAACTATACCAAGCTTGTGGAACTTGCTTAAATTCAGATAAAGACTTTTTAAGCCTATTAACCTATGATTCCTTAACCTTATGCAAATAAACTTGAGGTTACTTGTAAGACCCATGTTTTGGCCCAATAGACTCAACTAAATATTTAACCCAAAACCCAACCTAACTAACCTAAGTATTTAAAGAAAGGTTATTAGGAATTGTTTTTCTCTTTTTTCATCTTTTCTTCTCTCCATTGTAACTTTCTCCTATGTAAACCAAGAATTTCAATTTTAGTTCAAGTTTTGAGTCAAAAAAAGGTTAAAGAAATAAATAAGTGATTCCCTCTCTTATTATTTTCGATTAGAAAATTGATTATGAAAAAACTTAAGAAATGTTTAGGATTTTGTTTTGAATTGATGATTGGATTATTTAAGGAATTTCATTGAAGCATTAGGGTGTTAGTTGGCATAAAATGATCTGATTTGATAATTGAAATTATGGATTGTTGAAGATCATATTATGTTTTTATGTAATTTGTAGTTTGGAAGACTAGAAAACTGAGATTCTAGAAATCCCGATCAACTAGTCAACCAGTTAGTTGAGTCGGCCGACTAGTTAATTATTTGTTATCAATCGACTAGTTATTTTAAATCGACCAACCGATTGGTTATTTATTGTCGGTCAATCATAGTTTAAAGACCAACCGGTTGGTCATTATGGTTGATTTGTTGACCCAACAATAGAGTTTTATCGAGTTTGTATGTTCAATCAGTTTGAGTTATTTTTAGGATCGATCGAGTGAAACAATTCAACCTTATATTTATGTTTTGATCTCTAAGTTTAAAGTTTTTAATCTTTTTATGATTTTTTGCTTTGATTTTTTTTAGTGTTTTTTTGTATCTGTTATACGTTCTATTGATATTCCTCTTAACGATCTTTAGCAACCTTCGGTTAAATATTTGTTTGTTTTTTTGCTTTAATTTTCTGAGTGAGTGAGATAATCTTTAATATGTATGTAATATAAATAATACATGCTTGTTGATTATATAATGAGTACAACTAGTTAATTTTTTAAATATTTATATATGTTACTTTATTTTTCAAGTACTCATCATTTCTTGAATTTACACTTGTATTCTGTTGAACTAAATTTTATTTGATATGATATACATTGTTTTGATAATTATGTAAATATCTATTATATCTTGATATCGATATACTTGTTATTAACTCCTTACTAACGGAGAGTTATTAGTTTATATGCATATATTATTTTGTATACCTACATAATGAGAGACACGTTGACCTGTGGTAACTAATCCTCTCATAGTGATCACTTTCAAGTGTCATATGATATTTGACATATATTCCATTACCTTATGTTAATATGCTTATTATATATATTTATATTAAAATATATCGACTTGCAAATTATTAATATCTAAAATATATGTTAAATATTATTCTCTTACTAAGTTGATTGAATTTACCCCTTATTTTTTTACTAAGTTGATTGAATTTACTCCTTATTTTTAATATTATTTTAGGTTTTTAGTTTTTATTAGCATATGAACTTTGTTTAGTGTTCCAACTTCTTCAATTTTAGTCAATATATTTTGTTTGTTCTCTGAGGCTTTTCTTTTAGTTTTTTTTTATTTGATGTCTTAAATGCTTCATTATTACATTGTTTTATTTAACATTTGGATTTTATTTAATGTAATAAGTATTATGAACTCTTGTTTCATTTTATTCTAATGATGAAATATTTTGAAAGTTTACAAAACACTGTGGATTTTATATAATTTATTTTATGACATGTATATTCAGAAGCATAGCATAAGTAGGATGTCCTTATAACACTGCTCAACAAACACTTCTTCATTTAACTTCTCTTATAGAAATGTTAATTTCACGTTCGTTGGTAAATTATTTATTGTTTTTTAGCTGTAAGTACTATTGTTAGATGGATCAAATCCAATTTATGCTATAAGTGCAAATACCTTTATAAAATCTAACCTATGTCATTGAGAATAACCTTTTGTGACGAGCTTTGTCTTTTACTTATCTACTTCTTTACTTTTATTAAGTTTTATTTTATATAACTATATATATAGCTATATACTATCAAGGTCTATGCATAAACCAATACTAGGTATTTATGAATGGAATTTCTTATATATTTATACTCATTTTCATATATTATCATCAATTTTGAATATCTATTAATTAAATACTATTTATTATTTGATATCAAATATTTTTAAAAGATGATGATGATGATGATGATGATGAAAAATTGCTTATAACATCCTATAGTCTGCTTTTTCTTCTTTATTTTTTTTCACTTTACCTCCATGTTTTAAAAAATCACAATTTATATCATAGGTCAACAAAATTTCTTAAAATTAATGAAAAGATCAAACCACCTTTTTTTTTTATGCTTTCTCTTTCCTATTCTCTAATCTCTCATTGATCTACCACCATTAAAAAGCTCCCACATCTTCAACCATCCTCCCTAATAAGAAGTAAACAAATCTGAAGGAGATTTTTTTTAATTGTAAATAAAGATGATAACAAGAAACAATTAGTACTATAAAGCTCTTAAACAAAGACAAGAAAAAAAAATTAAATGGCAGAAGAAAGGAGATAAGGATGTCAACTCTTTATGCTGTTAGGATTTTTCAACTAATGAGAGAACTAAGGCATAAATCTAATGGAGAAACAATTTAGTGGTTGTTGTAACAAGCATAACCATCTATTATTATTGTAACTGGTAAAAGGACTATTCCTACCTTATGGTTTTGGGATTGCATGAAAGAATGGTAGGGTTAGGACCCGATATTATTGGGTCCAAAGATAGAACTATTTGGACCATGAATATTAAGAGTCTGTTTATTTTTATGTTACAAAAGTATTTTTGAAAAAATTAAAAATTGTTTATTTTTTTCTTTACTTTAAATTAATGTTTTTAGTTTTTCATATAGTTTTAATATACTAATATCAAAAATATTTTTTAAAAAATATTATTTTAATACATTTTTGAAAAAAAAAATACTTTGAAAAGCAATTATTATTACACTTTTAAACACCCAGATGTAATGTGGCAAGTGGGATTTGACTCTCTAATAACAGAATTGGATCAAAGTTTGTTTTTAATTTTGATAGGTTAATATTAAATTCTAAAAATAAAAACTCTAATATTCTATCAAATTATGGGTTCATAAGAATAAGTTTCCCAATATTTACATGGGCTTAATAAGTTTTTACTCTATGTTTAGTGGCACTAACCATCAATTTCCAAGCTTAGAACTTAGACTATCTAACATATAGTGCAATATCGTTGTGTCTTAAATTTGATAAATTATTGGTTGTCGATAAAGAGGTGTTTGGTATTGTGATAACTATTGTAGTTGTAATTTGAAAAAATTATTTTATAAAAAATATTTTTAGTTGAAGTTGAAGAAAACGTGGCAGTTGCTTCGAGGCTCCATTATGAGTTCCATAGTGTGAAAATCTAATGGTTTTTTTTTTCAAGATATTAGGTTGGATTCAATTGGTTGAATTTCCATAAAATAATTTTGGAGTTGGGTTCAAGATTTAGAACAGGGAGGAGAAAATGTTGAATGTGATGGTTTTATTTTTCCAAGATAAATTTGTAATATTTAATATAAGAATTCTTTTAACTATCATATATATAAAATAATGAAATTTTTATAAATAATTAGATATTTTTTATTATTTTTTTAAAAAATGTTAAGATTTATTGCACAATAAAGTTTAAAATATAAATTATAATTTTTTTAAAATAAAGATATAAAATGAAAAAAATGATTAAATTATAAAGTTAAGTGTAATTTTCTCCAATAATAAATAAAAATAAGAAGAAGAAAGGTATTCTCCTATTCAATTATCGTTTGTAATTTTACACATTATTTCAACTAAGTGGTTGTTTTATTTGAAAAATTATTAAATAAAATATTTTTTTTTGTATATTAAAATAATTTAAAAATAAATTTTATAAAAATGCTTTTCAACTGAAAAAGAAACTGCTATGAAAGTAAGCGTAGAATTCGATGAGACAGAAGTAGTCGTAGTGAGTGTACCAAAAGAAAGACTCATAACTGCAGACTCTTTGACTTCCTTCCCTTTCTTTTTCTATCTATTTCTTTATATATTTCCTGTCACCTGCTTTGTAAGTAAGCTAACGGTCTCTGCAAATTTCAACATCGATCCCTCCAATCACTGATTTATTATCATAAAGAAGCTCGATTTATTTCCCGCCAAACTTAATCCAACCATGAATCGTGATCCTGGTCGAGGACGAGATCTAGGTCGAGGTCGAGGACGAGGTCGAGGTCGAGATCTAGGTCGAGGTAGAGGACGAGATCGAGGTCGAGGTCACTGGCGCAGTCCCGGAGGAAGCGAGCAGTGGGTTCCCAAGGGGAGATCTTCGGATCCTTCTTCCCACAGTAACTACTCTGTAACTTAATCGCCCCTCTTCTTTTATTTCATTCCTGGTGTTTTTCTTTTATTGATTGATGGATGTTGGAATCTTCAAGTTTTGTGATTCGTGGGCTTTTTATATTATAGCAATATTTTTCTTGTTTGGTGTAAATTGATTGTGATAATCATCATGGATACATCATTTTAAATTAATTTAAACTTATTTTATTTTATTTTTTTGCATGCATATTATTTAATTTGTTTTTTAGGACCCGTTTTGGTGGGTTTATTTCTTTCCTTTTATTTCTTGATAATTAATCCTGATAGTTATTGCATATTTTGTTTATTTTATTAATAAATGGGTATGAGGAGGTTAGCATTGATGGGAAAGTTTGCTAATGTCATGTAATTTGGAAACGGCGTAGGTTGGAGCAGATGAGTCTTCTGATGATGAGAAACCTTTTAGCAACAGAGGAAGAAACTCGCAGCCGAATTCACGAGGGTGGTTTCCAAGTTATCCCAACAGTGCGGGTAACATTTTTTGCCAGAAGGAACCATTAGAAAATAAGTCATTAGAAGATAGCATGTCCAGTACGGGAAGGATCCTCCACGACCAAAGCGCTCCCAGTTGCAGCAGTATTGGGTCAAATCAGTCAGATTGTTCTGTGGCTTCAAATTCAGTTAACAAGGGCGATTCTGCATTGATGCCAGCTATTTCATGTTCTAGGGATATGATGTCTGATATTGTTAGCGCTCCCTTGGAAAAGGGAGCAGTTGATTTCTCTCTCAAATTGAATAGTACTGTCCCATTGCAAAATCAGAATGAGTCTCAACTGTCATTTCAAGATGGTGCGAATGGCCAGCTTTCACAAGAAAAGGATCCCAATAATGTGGTATCTGCTGGGGATTCAGGGTATTCAGAGCAACAGGCAGTGGTTGAGCCTTTTGATAGTTGCTTGCCCAAGACTGGAACTACTCCTAAGCTAAAACCAGATTGTTCTGTGGCTTCAAATTCAGTTAACAAGGGCGATTCTGCATTGATGCCAGCTATTTCAGGTTCTAGGGATATGAAGTCTGATATTGTTAGCACTCCCTTGGAAAAGGGAGCAAAGGATGGTGCAGTTGATTTCTCTCTCAAATTTAATAGTACTATCCCATTGCAAAATCAGAATGAGTCTCACCTGTCATTTCAAGCTGTTGCGAATGGCCAGCTTTCACAAGAAAAGGATCCCAATATTGTGGTATCTGCTGGGTATTCAGGGTATTCAGAGCAACGGGCAGTGGTTGAGCCTTTTGATATTTGCTTGCCCAAGACTGGAACTACTCTTAAGCTAAAACCATCTTTGCTTGTGAAGAATAGAGAAAAGAGGAATGATGTCAGGCGGGCTGCAGGTGGGGTGAATGGACAGATACTAAGATCTGGGATGGTTTTACTAAAGAATTACTTATCCCTGCATGATCAGGTGCTGCTTACTTTATGCTCATTATTTTCCCTTATCGAGTTAATTCGTCTTTGCCTCTTTAAAAGTTACATGTGCTCCTCTTGGCTTTCATTCATTGAAGCAGAATGTTATTGAGTTCATATTACATACAGTGAGCTCGATCTAAAGCTACAGGACTATGAAATATAGTAAGACAATTGGTAATTAATTAACTTTACTAAAAAAATGGCGTTTGGTGTCTTAACAACTAGTCTATTGATGACTTGTATTATGAGTCTATGAGAAATTAATGGTGCAGTCTGTGAACTTCCATTTTCATTGGTTTGGTATTTACGTTATGATTTAACAAGTATTAATTTATTGTTTGCTTTGACTGGTTACTAGATAAAAATAATAAAGTTATGCCGAGATATTGGTCTGGGTCCTGGAGGTTTCTACCAACCAGTTTACCGTGATGGTGGAAGAATGCATTTGAAAATGATGTCCCTGGGTAGGAGTTGGGACCCTGATAGAGGTGAGTATGTAGAACATCGGCCAGTTGATGGCGCTAAGGCACCCATTTTTCCTAGTGAATTCCATCCGCTGGTTGACAGAGCAATCAAAGATTCCCATGCTCTTATAGAAATAAATTGTAAATCTACAGCTGCTAAAGACATTCTACCATCATTGTCACCAAACATCTGTGTCGTAAACTTTTACTCAGAAAGTGGGCGGCTTGGTCTTCATCAGGTTTGCAGTGTCAACTTTCTTATACTAGTTGCAGTTTTCTCGTAAACCTTTTATGTTGCCTTGTGCGTTGTTCTGTATTAAAATGATTTTGCATTCTATTAGGTTTAATAAAGATCCCTTGGGCTTTTCCTGACCGCCTCTTAGTACGCTTAGAATACGTTGTCTCCATGCAGGATAAAGATGAGAGTCAAGAGAGTCTGCGCAAAGGATTACCTGTGGTTTCCTTTTCCATAGGAGATACAGGAGAATTCCTATATGGTGATCAGAGGGATGTTGAGAAGGCAGAAAAGATTTCGTTGGTATCCGGGGATGTACTGATCTTTGGCGGGATGTCTCGGCATATTTTTCATGGTGTAAGTTCTGTTCAACCAAAGACTGCCCCGGCGGCCCTGCTTGATGAAACAAATCTTCGTTCAGGTCGTCTAAATCTCACTTTCCGTGAGTATTGAAGACCATAAATATACTATGAGTTGTTTCTAGTGATTGTACACATGACAGTTCTGTTGTGCCCCCCCGCTTAGTTTTGTTGCGAAGCCATCAATACTCGTGGATGCAATCTGAAAAACTATCTTTTTTTAATCTGCTGACTAGGGCATACGAAAGCATCCCATACGTGTGGAGATATAGTTGGGCTGCTTGTAAGCTCTTAACTACAATGTTATTTAAAATTTAATACATTATTGGTTTTTGTTTAGTTTTATCTGATCTCTTACGAGGCCACGATTTTTCAGCATATTTTGTGAATTTTTGGGATTATTATGCAGAACGAGGTGCTCCTTTAAAATACTGATGATTTGTTCTGAGAAAGCACTTCAATTTTTATTCTGCTATGAAAAATAATCCATACAAGAAAATGATGGGTAGATTGATATAGTCTCTCCATTAACCCAAATTCTTAAAAACGTGACTGGACAGCTTACAGTAACATCGTTGCCCTTTTTAAAAATAAGATAGGGAGGAACTCACACAGAAGCTTAGGCACACAAGGAGGATGAACTTGCTAGGATGATTATCCTTCGAAGCCTTTTAGGCAAGAGGGTTCTCTTATAGATTAATTAGATCTCCTACTAGGGGATGGTGGGTGGGCTGCCTTGCCATGGGTAAGGCCACTTTCAGTTGACATCTGGTAGACCTTCATATTTCCTGACATGGCTAGTGCTCTTGTGATTCGCCACTTCAAATGGGCTACCTCTTTTGGCAGCCAAACTTCCAACAGTCGCTCGATTGTTTGGTTAAGAATGCCTTTAAGATTTGCTTAAATATAAATGCTTATGTAACAAGGAAAGCCACAGGATCAACTACCTTCTCACCAACATATTGTCAAGCTCATTAATTTGTTGTATATAAGCAAGCTTTTTTTGCTTCCAACAAGCTCCCATGATGGCCACTCAAATTGCAATTTACCATGTATATAATCCCATGTAATTTCTATCATGCATAACCCATTGTTTACAATGTTCCTATTTACAAACCTTGCTTCCAGAGTTTATTAATCCCAATCTGCTAGTTCATATCATCCTAATTGTGAAGCATTTAGCCGTGTTTGATCAGAAAGTTGACCTCTTGGAATCGGAAAAGTGGGAGAGCCGGAGAGGATGAGCCATGCTGGAGAAGCAGGGCACATGCTGAATCTATCAGCTTGAAAGTCTGATAGTTTTGCATGTGCTCTAGCTCTCCAGCTTGGACCCTTCCTCTTATGACTACAAGGGTTCAGAAAGTAGAGCGGGATTTAGCTCTGTCATAAAGGTAAAAATTCTAATTAATTTTCGGAGAACTTACTTGACTATCAACATCACCTGCATTACGTGTTTCTTGCGTCGCCATTGCAGTGTATCTTTGTCAATAGAGGTAGGGAATCAATCAAGAAAGCTTTAGTACATTTCAGTCTAATATCAAAGTGTACCTTCATCGGTCTTATTATGTATAAAGATTATTACATCATATATAACTTGCATAATAAATACATCAGGTCAAATTCACATAACATGGTTGGCACAAATGATCTTTGCTTGATGATCAACATTACCTAGTTATATAAGTTATTTGTTTACAAGAGAGGAGAAGTAAAATTCTAAATCCAACAACCCCCCCTTTTTTTTCTGAATCAACCACGATTAGATCGATTCTCTAGAGCTGATGCAGCTGAATCCACATGAGCAAGCAGACAAGCATAAATCTTTTGCTTCAACCGATCAACAGTCTCCACTAATTCATTATTGTCCTCAGAGCTCAATTTGCTTCTTAGTATATCTAACCACTCATTAGCATGCTTAAGCTGTGACAATGCAACAGCAATATGGTTGTTCTCCGGTTCCATTCGTTGTGTGGCGAAGTCCTTACCTTTCTTCTCCTGGGCAGCAACATGAAACCCAGCATCCAATGCTCCCTCCAAGAATCTCAAAAACCAAACCCTTGTTTCATTCAAGAGAGTCTGTTGGAGTTCTTTGATCTCCTTTTTACCGTCTCCTTTAGCCCACTCCTGCTTCTCAGTTGCACTTAACTCCATAGAAGGCTTTGGAGACTTCAATGTAGCTTTGGCCTTACTTGGACTTGTCTTTTTGCTTGTTTTTTGGGTCTCTGGAGAAGAAAAGAGAGTAAATGACTGAAGCGATTTATCCTTCAATGGGGCTGTTACATTTGGTTGGTCGATGAGTTGTTGGAGGGTAAAGAACTTCGTGAGAGTGAGGTGGGGGTTCTCTGGTGAGGCAGAGGCGCAGAGCTCAGCAAACATACTGAAAGAAAAAGGATGAAAGTTAGAGGGATATAGAGAAACGGCTTGTATTATTTTGAATCAAACTATGTTTTGGCCTTCTTATTTATGTACTCACTTGAGGCACTTGATAAGAGATGCAGCAGTGGATGCCTCCTTTTGAGCCTCAGCTGCAACCAAGGAAGCTAAATATCTCCTTCGAAGCATTCCCTTAGAACATAATAAACCATGAGAAAAGAGAGCTGCATTATGATGAGTTTTCTTGTACATCTGGTGCTTCAATTAGTGGGTTAAAGACTCGTTCTTGAAGGCAATGTCATTTATTTGGATCAATAAGATAAAAAAATCTTCCATGTGGTTAGCATAATGCACAAGAATGAAATTTTTTTCTCGAGACCTACCATCCTAAAGCTTCCTCAACGTAAAAAAAGGGTGAAAGTGAGGAAAACAGGAAAAACTTACCTTTCCAGGCTTCATGAGGTTTGAAGGCAAAGAGATCCATGCTGTTGCTTCAGGAAAAGGGATTTTATTGTTATTACTTGACAAAGAATTGAAGTTTGTGTCGTTTTGTTTATTTGATAACCGTTTTGTAGAAGTTCTCTTGGAAGACGCTGGAAATTCTTTGTTGCTGGATACGGCGACCTCTGGCTTTGATGAAAGCGCATCAGGTTGATTTTGGTAAGGAGTGGCTGGGCGTGCCTGCAATGCTTACACAAATAACTGTTACATAATGTACACTGTACATTTCATGCAGCAGAGTGCATGCACCAAACGAAACATGTCATTGTGAGGATTAAGGAACCTTATTTTCTTAATTGTATCAATCAAAATAGGACACTGGATATCTTGGAAATGTTCATAAAGTAATTTCTCTACCATTTTTTTATGCTGGACAAGGAAATTGATGCATCACAGAAAGTTCATTGGAAGAACATCATGTGCTGCAAGTGCATTTTTATAATTTCCATATTATAGTCTTTCCGCCTGTAATTTACTTGAAGCCTACACCAGTAAAGGAAAAAAGAGGCAGAATTTAAAGAAAAACAACTATTAGAACAAGTTATTTATGTCTCTGCAGAATCAAAATGGAAAATCGTACCTGACCTTTATTTTCTTGCTGCTTGCCATTCATTAATCCAACCTTTTTACCTGGTCCACTATTATCACTCTCATTGCTCTTCCCAATTCCACTTGAATCCACTTCACCAACTTTAAGACTTCCTGTCAAAACACCCTGCATATACCTAGATGCAACTCCAGCCTTTTCCTCTTTGATAACAATTTTCTGCCTTGCATTCTCCCCTTTCACTTCTGACAACTCCCTCGGTTTTGAACTATTAACTCCATCATTAACTGGCACTGGACCCTCAGATGGAACCAACATTTGCATCAGATCTTTCGGATTCCCAATGAAAGGATTTCTCCCTGCCACTGGTCTAACACCACTTAAAGTCGGAACTGGGGTCCCAGCTTCCACTCTATCAACATAGAAAAACTGCCCAAGTTGTAACTTGTTATTCAAAATTAGCTCATTGTCTTCCTTCGACAATGAGACATAGGTAGAATGTGAGGAATCGGATACTTTGATGAAGAAGCCTTGATTAGGCCATAGTTCTGAGCCTGACAGGGCTGGCACAATGCTGATAACTTGCAGGAGAACAGACCGATATTCTCCTCGAACCCTTACATTCGAGTTTATACTCCGAAGAAGCTTAAGCAGTACTCCTGGTGTAAGAGATGCCATACCTTTTCCTTCTCTATTTCAGACTATGGACCTCTACCAATTACTTTTCTTCATCCAAAATTGTAAAGCTGAATAATGCGCCAAATCGTGGTGTCAGATCAACAGTACTACTAAGTACTAACAGTATTTTATACTGAAGAACTAAAGCATAATTTTCAGGTACCATATACATATGGTTTTAAGAATCTATCAGTTCTCCCTTTTTTTGTTGTTCTGTAAGCCCTTTCAGTTTCAGGTAACCTACGGATATGTGAAAAAGCCCATGCCCTGTTGCCTTTACACCAGGTAAACTCAGGTTTCTCCGGCTAGCATTTAATTCAAACCTGTGACATGCGCCTCTAGCCAGCGTGCATCACAGGCTGAAATCTTTTCACTAGCCTAAAACCTTAGGCTAATTCAACCCTTTTTGTTTGCAATATTTTTCAACTCCTAGCAGTATATGTGTGGCTATTAATCTCTAACCAATTATATCTTATGCAATACTACAACATGAACATCCTTGAACCTTTTAGACTCCATGAAACTGAATTTACTGGAATAAGCTACAGAAGTTTCTTCAAATTTGTAATAGACAATAGCAAAATGGATCCAAAAGTATGGTTTGTGAGTAACTTTGACATGGAACAAAAGTTTCTGGAAAAAAATAGAAAATCATAGATGAAATCAATGAATCCAAACCAATCTGAAGCATATCCATAGGTAAATATATCATTTCATACAAGATTGATAGAAACAAAAGGATAATACCTGAGATGATCAAGTGGGTTCTACTTTAAAGAGATGGAGGTTTTTTTCATATAGAAATGATCAGAAGACGCCTCCAATCCAAGGAAACCAATTTGTTTTGATAGTAGAAACCATTGGCAAACCTCAAAACCTCCATAGCTTTGCATGCAAGACAAGTAACTATCAATCTCTCTTGGCTTGGAAGCCAAGTGACGTGTTCATAACTGATGAGAAGTTAATTAGCGCCCCTATTTTGATATGAAATGACAATGTGAACCTCATACGAGAGTACTGTGCTGTAAGCATTGCTGATGTATTTAGTGGGTATTTTGGTCCATAGTTGTTTGTCTGAAATGTGGTAGCATTTCCCTTTTGAGATTAGAGGGTATGGAGTTTTTAAGGAAGGTGGGATTAATATTTTGATGTTCTATCCTTGCATGCCATAAATCACTCGATTTTTGACCAAAATCACTCTCTCTTTCGATAAACATACGAGTGCTGTCAGCTGTGATGATTAAGTAAATTTTACTCTATTTTTTTCATCATTTTCAGTCCACTGAAATCCTCAATTATTACTTCCAGTGTAAGAATTCTTCTTTATGATTTGATTTACTTGACAAAGTCCCAAAAGTCTAGGAGTTGGGTTTGCCTCAAAACCTAGTGTGGCTAGGAAAAAAAACAATTATGCGAAACTGTGGGATTCCAATCTCAACACTTGCCTAAAATTTACAAGTGAAGTAGTGATATATAATAAATTATATAACAACATTGAGTACTAAGAAATAATTTTATAATTTGAAAGAAATAATCATTTAATTAGCATTCATATATTGCGATGCCACTAAATATTATTCATTTTTCTATCATTTATTTTACATTCTCTTTAACATTTCCCATAATAACTTTTATTCTTGTTTTTAACTCTCTCTTTCTCAACAATATTATATGATAAGTTGATAAAGATAATGATGTAATCTCTATATAATATACATGCATGTCGAAGATTTCTTTCTCTTATCCTTTCCTTCTTCTCCCTCGACTCTCCCCGCTTTTATCTTCTTCCTTTACATCTAGGGATTATATATTTTTCGGAAAGATGAAGTTCTGGGATGATCAATCCATACATGCCTCGAAAGTTACGTGTTTGCAAGAAGTCACTTAAACTTTTTTGGATGCTACGATAACAGTACTACAGTAAGATATCATATATCATCTTTTAGGGTTTTGGATGCTAGCTGCAGACTTGAATCCAAGTCAACCGGAAAAAAAACATATTTTCTTAGTTTTTAGCCACCATGATCCCTGTTGGAAAAGAGGGTTCGAGCTAGAGGCAAGCATTTATGGGCATCGACTCATAATTAACCTTTGTATCTGTCATAAAACCTTTTGACCTTTAAGCAAAAATCCCCCCACACATTAATCTTAGGGCTAAGGGGGTATGCAAAAGTCATGAGCTCAATTTCTATTAGTTTTTTTATTCGATAATATATTATATTTATTAATAAAAATACTGAGAAAATAAAATAAGTAAATTTTTTTCTATGTATTTTTTTATTAGTAAATTATTTCCATATATTTATACACCGCTATATCTCTATAAAAATAAAAATACAAGTTCATTCAAAAAATATATTTTTTGAAAAGGATAATCTAATTAAACTAGTCTCACTTTTCAAAAAAAATGTAAAGATACCAGCCTTAACATAAAAAAAATTATTATTGATAAATTATAACTTATGAGAATTTTTTTAAAAGATAATTTCCCTTCATGAACTAATCATCGGAAAAATTTATACCGATAAATTGTAAGTATATATAGCAATTGCTAGAAAAACTCTTCAATAAATCTAAAACGTTTGAAAGTAATTGTTGATCTGCCACCTCCACTATAACCAACCAATATAAGAGTCTTTGCAAATGAAATAACCAACTGGATTGAGCGAAAGAAACGCCTTCAAACTCAATCTGGCGGGGACACCAAGCATGTGCCACAAATTACACGCGTGTGGGGACATATACAATAAAGAATAACCCAACTCATCATGATTGAAAGTTTGGACACTTTCAAACTCAATCTATTGAATTTTTATTTGGGTTTATTTTTAGATTTAATTTACATTATTTTGTTAGAAAAATTTTATTTAGTGAACTATGAGTTTAATTGTTAGTTTTTATTGGGGTTTTACTATATATATAATTTTTTAAATATTATAGAGAGTTTTAATTGATTAAACAAAGTTCTCTTCCTGTAATTTTCCTTTATTTTTCAAAAACTTTTCTCATCCCGCGTAAACTTTAAGGAGCATTTGAAAAGGCAGGTTAACCCGTATTTTTAAAAAATTTAATTTTTTATTAAAAACTAATTTTTTTATGTTTTGAATTGTTTTGATGCACTGATTTCAAAAATAATTTTTTAAAAATAAAAAACATTATTTTAATAAATTTCAACATAAAAGGTACTTTAAAAAGCGATCGCAACCATATTTCTAAATAGACCTTTAGTATTAGAGCTTCAGAAGATTTTAGTTGTTCATGTAACTAAACAATTAAAAAAATCCTTAAAGAATTGGTAGCAATTTCTTCCACAACTTCAGCCCCCTTTCAATATTTCCATAATAATCCCAAATTCCTATACTATTAACAAAGCAAAACGAGACTACACAAAAAAAAAGTCTTAAAATTTAGCAATCTTTAATGAAGATAACAACAAAAAAAAGAAAGCAACTAAACAATTCATCAAGAAATTAGACAATCCTCAAACATGACAAAAATACAAACATTTTTTATAATCAAACACTAATATACCCACACATTCTAGAAGTGAGCAAAAAAATTGAAAAACCAATTAAACCGAGAAAAATAGAAAAAAATAACTGAAAAAATCAAACCATAAAAAAAATCTATTAAACCAATTATAATTTAAAAAAAAACTAACCGGTTCAGTTTGGTTTCAATTTTATAATCCTGAAACCAAAAAATGAACCAAACTAAACCCAAACAAAAACAAAACTAAGCCAAACTAGAAAATAACTGTGTCAAACCAGAAAAAACCGAATCAAACCAAAAAAACCGAGCCAAATCAAAATAACCAAGTCAAATCGAAAAAAATCAGTTTTTGTTCTAAAATAACCAAATCAAATCGAAATTGATCGATTTGAACTGGTTTTGGTTCTTTTGAAAAAACTGATTTGGTTATTTTTTTTTATAAAAATCGACTCAAACAAAAAATATCACTCCTAGGACCCATCCACACAACCAATGATGACCAGCAGGACAAGATCCCTCTTCCCTTCTCATCACTTAACTCAGATTCATCCATACCAGACACTAGAGAAAGCCACATAACCACCAACCACAGCACCTGCACATGACCGATCCACCACAACCCCTCTTCACACTGAATTTGAGAAACCCACCACCCACAGTCAGCGCGAAATCCAATAACCTTCTTCATTAAGACATTCGACACTATCAACCACCTCTATAATTGCTAAACAATCCAACTACCACAGCTAATTCCTCATAATAGCAACCAACAAACAAAAGAAAAGTCTAAAACAAGCAAATATTTTGTTAGCTCGAGTCCATGTTGTAAAGCCTAAAGCCTATATAGATTATTAGTGATAAGTACAATACTTTTTAATTTCAACAGCTATGGTTTAAAATAAATAGTATAAAAAGTATAAAAAAATAACAACAACAAAAAAAAAGTTTGCTGACACAACAACAAATCAACGTTACTATATTAATAAAACTTGTATAATACAAGTGATATATTAACCTCGTTAAGTATCTTGGTTGACATATCACTCAATCTTTTAATTTATTTTTTTAGATATTATATTTGTTATTCTAAGTTATCGTTGTTAGTATTTGTGCTTAAAGAATCTCAACTTATTTTTTATCCATTATATTTTTATTTATCAACCAACTTTATCATTTATATTTGGCATCTAATCCTCTTTATTAATTATAAAGCTTACCTAAACTTGTGAAAAGTTATAACTTTTATCTAATTAACCATTTAAACTTAAAGTTATAGCATTAATTCTCTTGGTATGTTCCAGTCTTACTTAATCTCCACGTAGTAACTTTATTTGTGTATAGTGTTTTCACTTGCAAAAATTATTGTGATATCAATTATATCTCTAAGCTAATGTTACATATATTTGTATAATGGTCACTCAGTGTCCAACCTAGAGTCTAAATCTACCATGGATCTAACCATGAATAATACCCTTTGAGTCATTCAAGAGCAATTATAGCTCATGCAAACCTAGATGACTAACATGTTTAAAAGGGTTGAACCCCTAGAAATTTTCTAAACAAGACACCCTAAGACCAGTAAAACATATAATAATAATAATCATTATAGATATTTTTACTTTGAACATTATTAATATAACTAAAACATGGATTATCTCAATCATGATAACCCTAATGAGTAAGTCATGAGAAGTAACAAAATAGAGGCCTTTATTTTTTGTGGTTGTCATGAACCTTGAATTTTTAATAAGTGGATTCATGACATGGATCACTTCTTTAATTGGTTCAAATCATATGAAAATTAAAAAAGTTAGATTTATTAAGATTAAATTTAGAGATATAGCCTAACTTTATTGAAAAAGTGTCATGGGTTATTTGGAAAGGAGAGGTAAATCTTCTATCACTTATTGGAATGATATGAAATAAAAGTTATAGGAAAAGTATCTACCTAAATCTTATAAAACTAAACTTTTAGATAAATAGAAAATCTTATATGAGAAAACAAGTATATTAGCGAAAATGTAGAACAATTAATGAGTATAAGATGAAATACTCCATTAGATATTAACACAACCTAACTTTGGATTTTCCTCAAATTTGCCTTTTTCTTTCAAAATATATATAACAAAAAACAACAAAAAAAAACAAAACTGGAAAATGAAAAAGGACTTGTAACTTGGAAAAAAAAACAGGCTAAACAAAACTGGAAAATGAAAAAAGACTTGTAACTTGGAAAAAAAAACAGGCTAAGAAGGGTTTTAAGCACATGGAAAAACCAAACTAAGATTTTAGATAAAATTGAGAACTCAATTGTATTCAAGATTGAAAGACAATGCAGATTCAGAGTTAAATTAAATGATTATCGGGTGAATTCAGATAAAAAAAAATAAGTCTGAAGATTTAATTAGACTTTTAATAGGCCAATTTGATTTAATTATCGGCCTAAC